GAGATCTGCTGTGAGTCTGATGGGCTTCCCTTTGTGGGTAACCCGACCTTTCTCTCTGGCTGCCCTTAGTGTTTTCTCCTTCATTTCAACCTGGTGAAGCTGACAATTATGTGCCTTGGGGTTGCTCTTCTTGAGGAATATCTTTGTGGTGTTCTCTGTATTTCCTGGACTTGAATGTTTGCCTGCCTTGCTAGGTTGGGGAAGTTTTCCTGGATAATATCCTGAAGAGTATTTTCCAGCTTGGATTCATTCTCTTCGTCGCATTTGGGTACGCCTATCAAACGTACATTAGGTCTTTTCACATAGTCCCACATTTCTTGGAGACTTTGTTCATTCCTTTTTACCCTTTTTTCTCCAGTCTTGCCTTCGCGTTTTATTTCATTGAGTTGATCTTCGACCTCTGATATCCTTTCTTCTGCTTGGTCAATTCGGCTGTTGATACTTGTGCATGCTTCACGAAGTTCTCGTGTTGTGTTTTTCAGCTCCATCAATTCACTTATACTCCTTTCTATTTTGTCCATTCTCGTTAGCATTTCGTCAAATCTTTTTTCAAGGTTCTTAGTTTCTTTGCATTTGGCTAGAACATGTTCTTTAAGTTCACAGAAGTTTCTTACTACCCACCTTCTGAAGTCTGATTCTGTCATTTCATCGCACTCGTTCTCCCTTCAACCTTGTTCCCTTGCTGGTGAGGAGTTGTGATCCCTTGTAGGAGGAGAGATGCTCTGGTTTCGGGTGTTTTTATCCTTTTTGCGCTGGTTTCTTCCCATCTTTAAGAATTTATCCACCCATCAACTTTGTAGTTGCTGGCTTTCAGATTGGGTCTCAAATCTTTCAGATTGACGTTCTGTTTGTTGATGATGAGGCTATTTCTGTTTCTTGGTTTTCCTTCTGACTGCCTGGCCCCTCTGGTGTAGGTCTGCTGAGGTTCACTCCAGGCTCTGCTTGCCTGGGGTTCACCTGCAGCAGCTGCTGAACAGTAAGCGTTGTTACCAGTTTTCTTCTTCTGCTATCTTTGTCCCAGACGGATACCCGCCTAGTGTCAATCTGATCTCTATTTTATGAGGTGCCTCTTTGGATATACAGGGGTCAGGGCGCTGCTTGAGGAGATGGTCTCTATAGGAGCTCAAATGGTGAGCTGTGAGCTCTGTTGTTGATCATTCAGAGCTGCTGGGCAGGTACATTTACGTCTGCTGCAGCAGAACTCATAAACTGCTTTTTGTTCCCAGGTGCTCTGTCCCAGGGATTTAGGGCTTTATTTATGAGTTTCTGTTATGCTGCCGCCTTTTTTTTTTTTTTTCCTTCAGACCTGCCCAGCCCAGCAAGGAGGCAGCCTAGTCACTATTGGCCTATAGAGGCTTTGCTGAGCTGCTGTGGGCTCCACCCAGCTGCCGAGTGAACTTCCCTACAGTCCTGTTTATATGGGTGTAGTTAGCACTGCTTTGGTGATGGTGGCCCGCCTCTGTTGAGGCGGAGTCTCTCTGCTGTGGCAGGTTGCCTTGGCAACGGCGGGCTGCCTCAGCAATGGCGGGTTGCCTTGGCAATGGCAGGCTGCCTCAGTATTGGCCGACTACCTCGTGGCAGGCTGCCTCGGTAATGGCGGACCCCCCTCCCCCACAGAGCTGGACTGTCCCGGGTTCAGCTGCGCTTGCTGTGAAAGTCTCAATCCAGAGTTTCTGGTTGCTGTTCTTTCGTGGGGGTGGGACCAGCCAAGCCTGATCGCCTGGCTCCCTGCCTCAGCTTTTTTTTAAGTTGGTGTTCCAGTCACCAGTTGAAGAGGCGCCGGGGTCTGTTTGTTTTCCCCTGCGGCCACTCACTGGGCTGGCTTAAACAGCGGCACTGAGGTTTGTGGCGCTTTTTTTTTTTTTTTTTTTTTGCCCTGGAATCTACTGTCCTGGTTCTCTGCTCAGTCCTGTTTTTGAACCAGCGTATGGGCGACTTCCCGTGGCTCCAATCACCAGCCAAAAGGGCACCCGGACCGGTGTATTTTGTACGGAGAACCGCGGCTCCGGGGCGCCGACAAAGCAGCCGCGCGGGGCAGAGCAGCGGCGCCGGCCGGCACAGCCGCAATGGGTGAAACAGCCACGCTGGCGACTGTGGAGCTCCTCAGCCCGGGAATTTCCTAGTCTGTGGGCAATAAAAACGCGGCGTCCACTCACCCTCTGCGCTTTCACTGGGAGCTGCAATCCTGAGGTGTTCCTAAACGGCCATCTTGGATCGAAGAAAACTCTTTTTTTTTTTTTAATCCAGTCTACTATTGATGGGCATTTCAGTTGACTGTATGTCTTTGCTATTGTGCATAGTGCTGCAGTGAATATATGTATGCATGTGTCTTTATGATAGAATAATTTATATTCTTTGACTATATACCCAGTAATGGGATTGCTGAGTTAAATGGTAGTTCTGTTTTTATATCTGTGAGGGATCACCATACTGCTTTTCACCATGGTTGAACTAATTTACACTCCCACCAACAGTGTATAAGCATTCCCTTTTCTCTGCAATCTTGCCACTATCTGTTATTTTTTGACTTTTTAATAATAGTTATACTGACTGGTATGAGATGTTATCTCATGTGGTTTTGATTTGTATTTCTCCCATCCAAGTACTAACCAGGCCCGACCCTGCTTAGCTTCTGAGATCAGACGAGATCGGGCGCGTTCAGGGTGGTATGGCCGTAGACTTGATTTGTATTTCTTTAATGATCAGTAATGTTGAGTTTGTGTTTGTGGGGGCGTTGGTTTTTTTTTTTTTTTTTTTTTTTTTCTGAGACGGAGTTTCGCTCTTGTTACCCAGGCTGGAGTGCAATGGCGCGATCTCGGCTCACCGCAACCTCCGCCTCCCGGGTTCAGGCAATTCTCCTGCCTCAGCCTCCTGAGTAGCTGGGATTACAGGCACGCGCCACCATGCCCAGCTAATTTTTTGTATTTTTAGTAGAGACGGGGTTTCACCATGTTGACCAAGATGGTCTCGATCTCTTGACCTCGTGATCCACCCGCCTCGGCCTCCCAAAGTGCTGGGATTACAGGCTTGAGCCACCGCGCCCGGCCTGTTTTTGTTTTTTTTTTTCTTTTTGAGATGGAGTCTCTGAGTCTTGCTCTGTCACACAGGCTGGGCTGTAGTTGTGTGATCTCAGCTCACTGCAACCTCCACCTGGATTCAAGCAATTCTCATGCCTCAGCCTCCCGAGTAGCTGGGATTACAGGCACATGCCACCATGCCTGGTTATTATTTATTTATTTATTTTTATTTTTTGTATTTTCCTTAGAGACGGGGTTTAACCACCTTGGTCAGGCTGGTATCGAACTCAAGACCTCAAATGATTTCCCTGCCTAAGCCTCCCAAAGTGCTGGGATTACAGGCATGAGCCACTACATTCAACCAATGAGCATATTTTTTTTATAGGCTTGTTGGCTGCATGCATGTCCTCTTTTGAGAAGTGTCTGTTCATGTCCTTTGCCCACTTTTTAATGGGGTTGTTTTTACCTGGTAAATTTGTTTAAGTTCCTTATAGATGTTGAATATTAAACCTTTGTTGGATGCATAGTTTGCAAAAGTTTTCTCCCATTCTGTAGGTTTTCTGTTCACTCAATTGATAGTTTCTTTTACTGCACAGAAGCTCTTTAGCTTAACTAGATCTCATTTGTCAATTTTTGCTTTTGCTGTAATTGCTTCTGGCATCTTAGTCATGAAATCATTGCCTTTTTCTAAATCCAGGATGGTATTGCCTAGGTTTTCTTCCAGTATTTTTATAGTTTTGGATTTCATATTTAACTCTTTAATCCATCTTGAGTTGATTTCCGTATAAGGCATAAGGAAGCGGTCCAGTTTCAGTCTTCTGCATATCTCTAGTCAGTTATCCTAGCACAATTTACTGAATAGGGAATTGTTTCCCCATTGCTTTGTTTTTTAGCTTTGTTAAAGATCAGATAGTTGTAGGTATGTGGCCTATTTTTGTGCTCATTTTCCTGTTATATTGGCCTATGTGTCTGTTTTTGTACCAGTACCATGCTGTTTTGATTACTGTAGCTTGGTAGTATGGTTTGAAATCAGGTAGTGTGATGCCTCCAGCTTTTGCTTAGGATTGCTTTGGTGGACTATTTGGGCTCTTTTTGGTTTCAAATGAATTTTAAAATAGTATTTTCCAGTTATATGAAGAATGCCATTTGTAGTTTGATAGGAATAGCATTGAATCTACACATTGCTTTGGACTGTATGGCCATTTTAATGTTATTAATTCTTCCTATCCATGATCATGGAATACATTTGCATTTCTGTCATCTCTGATTTCTTTAGGAAGTGTTTTTGGACTTGAATGGAATAGAACAACATTCCTGATGTGATTCACGGCTTACTGTTTTTGGCATATAGGAATGCTAGTGATTTTTGTACATTGATTTTGTATCCTGAGACTTTGCTGAAGTTGCTTGTCAGCTTAAGGAGTTTTTGCGCTGACACTGGGGTTTTCTAGATATAGGATCATGTTGCTTGCAAACAGGGATAGTTTGACTTCCCCTCTTCCTATTCGTATTCCCTTTCCTTATTTCTCTTGCCTGAATACTCTGGCCGGGACTTCCAATAATATATTGAATGGAAGTTGTGAGAGAGTGCATCCTTTTCTTGTACTGGTTTTCAAGGGACAAAAGTTGGTTTCCTGTTATATTGGTCTATGTGTCTGTTTTTGTACCAGTATTATGCTGTTTTGGTTACTGTAGCTTGGTAGTATAGTTTGAAATCAGGTAGTGTGATGCCTCCAGCTTTGTTCTTTTTGCTTAGGATTGCTTTGGTGGACTGTTTGGGCTTTCTTTGGTTCCACGTGATTTTAAAATAGTATTTTCTAGTTCTGTGAAGAACTGGTTTCCAGCTTTTGTCCATTCAGTTTGATGTTGGCTGTGTGTTTGTCATAGATGGTTCCTATTATTTTGAGGTATGTTACCTTATTATCTAGTTTATTGAGAATTTTAAACATAAAGGAGTGTTGAATTTTATTGAAAGCCTTCTGCATCTATTGTGATAATTATGTGGTGTTTGTCTTTAGTCCTGTTTATGAGATGAATCCCATTTATTGATGTGCATATGTTGAACTGACCTGGCATCCCTTGATCATGAACTGACCTTGATCATGGTGGATAAGCCATTTGATGTGCTGTGGAATTTGGTTTGCAAGTGTTTTGTTGATGATTTTTGCATGAATGTTCATCAAGGATATTGGCCTAAAGTTTTCTACTTTTGTTGCATCTCTGCCAGGTTTTGGTGTCCGGATAATGCTGGCCTCATAGAACGAGTTAGGGAGGAGTCATTCTTCTCAATGTTTTGCAATAGATTTAGTAGGAATGGTAGCAGATCTTTGTTGTACATCTGGTAGAATTTGGCTGTGAATCTGTCTGGTCCTGTGCTTTTTTTTCTTTTTTTTTTTTTTGGTGGTGGTGGGGGTCATGGTGCTGGCAGGCTATTCCTGATTCAACTTCAGGACATTTTATTGGCCTGTTCAGAAATTCAAATTTTTCCTGGCTCTGTCTTGGCAGGGTGTATATGTCCAGAAATTTATCCATTTCTTCTAGATATTCTAGTTTATGGTGCATAGCACTGTTCATAATATTCTTTGATGGTTATTTGTATTTCTGTGGGGTCAATGGTAATATCCCCTTTGTCATTTCTAATTGTGTTTATTTGGATCATTTTTCTTTTCTCTTTATTAATCTAGCTAGAAGTCTATTTATTTTATTAGTTATTTCAAAAAACAAACTTCTAGATTCATTAATCTTTTGATTTGTGTGTGTGTGTGGGGGGTGTGTTTCAGTCTCCTTCAGTTCAGCTCTCATTTTTTTTTCTTTCTTATTTTCTGCTAGCTTTGGGATTGTTTTTTCTTGTGCTTCTTTAGTTCCTTTAGTAGTGATGTTAGGTTGTTAAATCATCTTTCTAACTTTATGATGTGGGTATTTTGTGCTATACATTTTTTCTTATCCCTCTTTACACTGCCTTAGTTATGTCCTAGAGATTCTGGAATGCTGCATCTTTGTTTCAGAGAGCACCTTGATTTATGCCTTAATTTCATTATTTACCAAAAAGTCATTCAGAAGCAGATTATTCAGTTTCCATGTAATTGTATGTTTTTGAGTAAACTTCTTAGTCTTGACTTCTAATTTGATTGCACTGTGTTCTGAGAGCTTGATTTTAGTTTTATTTATTTATTTTGCATTTGCTTACCAGTGTTTTTTGTTTGATTATGTGGTTGATTTTGATGTACCATGTGGAGATTAGAAGAATGTATATTCTGTTTTTTTTTTGGGTGGATAGTTATGTAGATTTCTATCAGGTCCATTTTATCCAGTGATGAGTTCACATGTTGAATATCTTTGTTCATTTTCTGCCTCAATGATCAGTCTAATACTGTAAGTGGGGTGTTGAAGTCTTCCACTATTATTGTGTGGGAGTCTAAGTATCTTTGAAGGTTTCTAAGAATTGACTTTATGAATATGGGTGCTCTTGTGTTGGCTGCATATATATTTGGGATATTTAGGTGTTCCTGTTGAAGTGAAACCTTTGCTATTATGTAATAGCTTTGTTTTTTAATATATATTTTATTGCATTTTAGGTTCTGGGGTACATGTGAAGAACATACAGCATTGTTGCATAGGTGCATACATAGCAATGTGGTTTGCTGCCTCTATCCCCTTCACCTATATCTGGCATTTCTCCCCATGTTATCCCTCCTCAACTCCCTACCCACCACTTTCCCTCCCCTAGTCCCCACCAACAGACCTCAGTGTGTGATGCTCCCCTCCCTGTGTCCATGTGTTCTCATTGTTCAACACCCGCCTATGAGTGAGAACATGTGGTGTTTGATTTTCTGTTCTTGTATCAATTTGCTGAGAATGATGATTTCCAGGTTCATCCATGTTCCTACAAAGGACATGAACTCACCGTTTTTGATGGCTGCATAGTATTCCATGGTGTATATGTGCCACATTTTCTAATCTTTGTTGGTTTAAAGTCTGTTTTCTCAGACACCTGGATAGCAACCCCTGCTTCTTTCTGTTTTCCATTTGCTTGGTAGATTTTTTTTATCTCTTTATTTTAAGCCTGTAGGTGTCATGTGAGATAGGTCTCTTGAGGACAGCATGCCAGCAGGGTCTTGGTTCCTTATGCAGCTTGCCACTCTGTGCCTTTTAAATGGGGAGATTTAGCCCATTTACATTCAAGGTCAGTATAGGTATGTGTGGATTTGAATCCATCATCATGCTATTAGCTAGGTATTATGCAGACTTGTTAGTGCGGTTGCTTTATAGTGTCACTGATCTGTGTATTTCAGTATGTTTTTGGAGTGGCTGGTAATGGTCTTTCCTTTCCATATTTAGTGCTTCTTTCAGGAGCTCTTGTAAGGCAGTTCTGGTGGGAACAAATTCCCTTGACATTTGCTCGTCTAAAAAGGATCTTATTGTTCCTTTGCTTATGAAGCTTAGCTTGGCCAGATATGCAATTTTGAGATGCAACTTATTTTCTTTAAGAATGTTGCGCTTGGATGGCTGAAGTGTGAGGATCCCTTGAGCCCAGGAATTCAAGGTTGCATGTAGCTATGATCGTGCTACTGCACTCCAGCCTGTGTGACAAAGGGAGACCCTGTCAAAAAAAAAAAAAAAAAAAAAAAGTGTTGAACATTGGCTGGCTTGTAGGGTTTCTGCTGAGAGGTCCCCTGCTAATCTGATGAGCTTCCTTTTGTAGATGGCCTGCCCTTTCAGTTTAGCTGCCTTTAACATTTTTTCTTTTATTTTGACCTTAGACAGTCTGATGACTGTGTGTCTTGGGGATGTTATTCTTGTGAAAGTTATTGCTGGAGTTTTCTGCATTTCCTGAATTTCAATGTTAGCCTCTCTAACTAGAAAAAGGAAGTTCTGATGAATGATATCCTGAAATATGTTTTCTACGTTGCTTAATTCTTTCCATTTCTTTCAGAGACACTAATTAGTTATAGTTTTGGTCTCTTTACATAATTCCATATTTCTCAAGGCCTTTATTTATTTATTTATTATTTATTTATTGTTATTCTTTTTATTTCTATTCAGTGTAACTGTCTTATTTCAGATCAGATCAGGCCTGTTCTGGGTGGTATGGCTGTAGCCTGTCTTATTTCAGAAAACCAGTTGAGCTCTGTATTCTTTCGTCTTCTTGGTCTATTTTGCTATGACTACTTGTGATTGCATTATGAGATTCTTGTAGTATATTTTTCAGGCCCATCGTGTCAATTACGTTCTTTACTATACTGGCTATTTTGTCTGCCAACTCCTGTATTGTTTTATTGTAATTCTTAGCTTCCTTGGATTGTGTTTCAATGTGCTCCTGTATCTTAATTATCTTCATTCCTATTTATATGTTGAATTCTATATCTGTAATTTCAGCCACCTTAGCCCAGTTCAGAACTCTAACTGGAGAGGTATTATGACAGTATAGAGAATAGAAAGCACTCTTTTTTTTTTTAAGTGTTAGAGTTCTTGCGATCTTTTCTCCTCATCTTTGTGGGCAGATTCTTTTTTTTCAATCTTTGAAGTTGCTGACGTTTGGATGTTCTTTTTTCTTTTGTCTTGTTTGATGACTTTGAGGGTTTGATTGTAGTATTAGGTGAATTCAACTGACTAGCTTCATTTGTGGAAGACTTTAGGAGGCCAGCTCAGCTCTCAACTCCTGGATTGTGTGTTCTAATTCTGGAGGACTTGTATTGGGCCTTTAATTTGTTCTATTACTCCTCAAGGTTAGGACTCCACTGTGCTGATGAGGCCAAGTTGCTCCCAGACCACTGGTCACTATACTGATGGGTGATGTCAGCCAAAGTGTTTCTTAGTGTGGCAGCTGTGCCAGCAACTATGTAGCAGGGAGCACACTCCTTGGCTGTGGCAGAATGCTAGCAAATGCCAGGGTGCCTGCCTCCATGTGGGCATTCACTGCAGTGGTAGAGGTAGTGTGGCTCGGGTGGGGTGAGGGCCCTTGCTGGTGACTGTGTGTGATTGTGCTGGTTGTGGTATTAGCACATGGTTGGTACAATTGCAAGTGCATGTCTGTGTACTCTTTATGAACACCACTGACAGGGGTAGTCACTTAGGCTGGAGAAGAGTCCACTGCCCTCTCTGCCAGTTTTATTCTGGTGGCCTTGTTGGCACAGGGGCAATACACTGGTAGGGGTAGGGCTAGCTGACTCTGTGTTCACCAAAACTTTCACTGCAATGGTGGCCCAGCGAGGGTACAGAGATTGGACTGTTTTCTGGCTGCAGCAGTGGCATGGCAGGGTATACACGCATGTACTCCATCCAGGCAAGAAAGGCAAAACGCACTTGTGCACACATGTGTCAGCAAAGTGATGTGAGAGTTGCCGGGCACAGGGGCATAGCTTCAGTGTGAGGAGGGAGCAGGTGGGCTGGTGTATGACCATGAGGGCCACTCTGCTGTAGCTTTTTATCTGTTAAACAAAGTTCTCCAGTGGAGGAGCTATGTTTGTCCCCAGGGAACTTCAGGCTGCCCTGGATGCAGGCACAGCCAGGCTGGGCCCTTGGGAGAGGCCAGAAGACTAACGAGTTTTCAGGTTGGGACAGTTTTGTCTGATGGGCAAGACCACGCTGCAGAATTTATGTCTGACAGTTCCCCTAAGGCTAAAGTCTCTTAGGTAGAATATTGAGCCTAGGGGCATGGCCATCCTGGCCATGCTCCATTACAGATATTCCTGCACCAAACCCTCTGGGCTCCACATCAGCTGGCTTGCTGCCCCCACCATTTCACTAAGCATTTCTCCCTGCCAAGTCAAGTATCCATGGTGGTTGAAGGGTCTCTTTCTGCTGGAATTCTAGAGGCTCATGGTGAGAGGAGGTTGCTCCTTGTCAGTTCAACTCACGCATTCACCCTAAGTTGTTGGGGGCCAGGAATAAGTCCCAGTGCATGATAGCTTCTTGCAGTGTCCCCAGCTTCCTCTCCCTTGAACCCAGCGTTTGTGTCTTCCCTCTATCCGTTTTTCGTATCTTCCCTCTGAATACTTGTTAGGAGCATGCCATTTGTCTCAGTACCTCGGTGGCATCTTCTTCCCCTGGCTGTATCTGGTTGGTCACTTTCCCTAACACATGTTGTTAAATGGTTAAGATTCTCGTTCATAAATAGAACAGACCATCCTTTATGTGATAATTGCTTCCACATAAATCATTTTGGGCTTTCAGACATTTTAATTGTTTTTCTGCTTCATCACCTGAACTTTTGCATGATTTCTAGCCAAAGAAAAATACGAAAACAAGCAGGATCTAGACCCTGACCACATAGAGCATGGTCTGACCAAATCCCATGGTTCCATAGCAGAAAGGACACACTCATCTGTTATAAAATTTTAAAATTAAAATTAAAAACTTT